GTGCATAACTTTACATTAAAGCTTATTATAACTTATTATAGGTTAAAAGAAACTAATCTAGCACTTTAGAACTTTTTTTAAATATTACTAAAAGTAATTATAGCATTAACGTACTTCATGGGCGAGTTGCTCACACACCTAAGTTGCTTACTTTTGCCAAGACCCCACTAAACTACCCTTCCTACACTAATGCATTCCCTACAACACTACTTAAACGCGCTAAAAAAATGTTAGATACAGCTTGCGCTTTAAGCTTTTAAATAAGACATAAAACTCTTAAAAAAATGTGCTGTAGCTATGTGTAGAGTCCTATAAAAGACAATAAATAACTATAGCACTAGACAACCTTTATAAGCTAATTCTACAGCTAAATTACAGAGGCTAGGCAATAAAAAGAAGCAGGTGATTATTAAGACTATACTTAAGCTATATGCGCAAGGAATTTCCCCTTAGATAGCATTTATAGCTAATATAGCTAATTCTTTGCGCGCTAAGCGTAATCTAGGCTATGTTTGCATAAACTAGCCTAGTATGTTTATAAAGCGTTATTTAGAGCTTAAAGTAAAGTTTTAAGCGTAAGTATAGTTAAAAGATATCTAGCTAATTATAAACCTTGTTTTGCTAAAGTTGTACATGTTATTATCCTAAATGCTATACTTAGCTTTAATATTCTCTATAAGGCTAAACCTGCTCTAAATTACTCTAGGACTCTTATAAAAAGCTTTTTTATAGTTATACTTACACTTAAATGTTACTTTAAGCTCTAAATAACGCTTTACAAATGTACTAGGCTAGTTTATGTAAACATAGCCTAGATTACGCTTAGCGCGCAAAGAATTAGCTATATTAGCTATAAATGCTATCTAAGGGGAAATTTCTTACGCATATAGCTTAAGTATAGTCTTAACAATCACCTGCTTCTTTTTATTGCCTAGCCTCTGTAATTTAGCTGTAGAATTAGCTTGTAAAGGTTGTCTAGCGCTGTAGTTATTTATTATTTTTTTACAGGACCTTGTACATAGCTACAGCACATTTTTTTAAGAGTTTTATGTCTTATTTAAAAGCTTAGAGTGTAAGCTGTATCTAATGTTCTTTTAGCGCGTCTAAGTAGTGTTGTGGGGAATGCATTAGTGTAGGAAGGGTAGTTTAGTGGGGTCTTAGCAAAAGTAAGCGACTCAGGTGTGTGAGCAACTCGCCTATAAAGTACGTTATAAGCTACTTTAAAGCATAGTAAAAACTTTATTTTTATAATATAAGTAATCTAGTTATATATAAGGTTTTTAGCTTAACGTACTTTACAGGCGAGTTGCTTATACACCTAAGTTGCTTACTTTTGCTAAGACCCTACTAAACTACTCTTTTTCCACTAATGCATTCCCTATAACACTACTTAGACGTGCTAAAAGAATGTTAGATATAGCTTACACTTTAAGCTTTTAAACAAAACATAAAACTTTTAAAGAAATATGCTATAGCTATATATAAAGTTTTATAAAAGATAATAAATAACTATAGCGCTAGATAACCTTTATAAGCTAATTCTACAGCTAAATTATAAAGGCTAGGTAATAAAAAAAAGTAGGTAATTATTAAGACTATACTTAAGCTATATGCGTAAGGAATTTCCTTTTAGATAGTATTTATAGCTAATATAGCTAATTCTTTATGCGCTAAGTGTAATCTAGGCTATGTTTACATAAACTAGACTAGTATGTTTATAAAGTGTTATTTAAAGCTTAAAGTAAAGTTTTAAGCGTAAGTATAGTTAAAAGATATTTAGCTAATTATAAACCTTATTTTACTAAAGTTGTATATGTTATTATCTTAGATGCTATACTTAGCTTTAATATTCTTTATAAGGCTAAACCTACTTTAAATTACTTTAGAACTTTTATAAAAAGCTTTTTTATAGTTATACTTATGCTTAAATGTTACTTTAAGCTCTAAATAACACTTTATAAACATACTAGGCTAGTTTCTATAAACATAGCCTAGATTATGCTTAGCGCGTAAAGAATTAGCTATATTAGCTATAAATACTATTTAAAGGGAAATTTCTTACATATATAGCTTAAGTATAGTCTTAATAATTACTTACTTCTTTTTATTACCTAGCCTTTATAATTTAGCTGTAGAATTAGCTTATAAAAGTTGTCTAGTGCTATAGTTATTTATTATTTTTTATAGGACTTTGCATATAGCTATAGCACATTTCTTTAAGAGTTTTATGTCTTATTTAAAAGCTTAAAGCATAAGCTGTATCTAACATTTTTTTTAGCACATTTAAGTAGTGTTATAGAGAATGTATTAGTGTAGGAAGAGTAGTTTAGTAGGGTCTTAGCAAAAGTAAGCAACTTAGGTGTGTAAGCAACTTGCCTGTAAAGTACGTTAGCACTTATACACCTTTTTTAAAGAAGTAAAACAACCTACATTAAGTAGCTATAAAAAGTGTAATAAGTAAAATAGTATATAAATAGTAATAATCTTATTATTTTTATAGTATTACTAAAAATAAAGTAAGTTATAGCTTTTATAGCTATTAATAACTAGCAAATAGTAGCTACTAACAGTACACTTCTTTATATGCGCGTTAAAGTGCTTTAACTAGTCTAGACTAAGCTAATTAGTAGTCTAGCTATGCTTAAAAATTATAATAAATTAATTTTAAAGTAGATTTTTTTTATACTAGTTTAAAAAGTAGTTACTACTCTAAAAAATAATAAAAAGTAAAATAGCTTACTTTTTAGCATTAATGCTCTAGATAGCTATTATCTACTTTTAGTTACTTAGCTAGACTGCTTTTAGGTATTCTTATCTTTCTAAACTTATAATAACTACTTTAGTAAATATCTAGCTTATTATAAACTTTATTTTATTAAAGTTATATATGTTATTATTTTAGATGCTATAATTAGCTTTAATATTTTTTATAAAGTTAAACTAGCTTTAAATTACTATAAAAATTTTATAAAAAGCTTTTTTATAGTTATACTTACACTTAAACTTTACTTTAAGCTTTAAGTAACACTTAATAAATATATTAAGCTAGTTTATGCTAACATAGCTTATATTATGCTTAGTGTGTAAAGAATTAGCTATATTAGCTATAGCTACTAGCTAGAGGGGAAATTCTTGCGCATTTAGCTTAAGTATGTGCTAAATAATTACTTACTTTTTATTATTATTTAGCTGTTATAAGTTAGCTATATAATTAGCTTAAAAAGGTTATTTAGTGTGTTAGTTACTTATTATTTTTTAAAAAACTTTATAAATAGCTATAGCATGTTACTTAAAAAGTATTATATTTTATTTAAAAGCTTAAAGTATAAGCTGCATCTAACATTTTTTTAATATATTTAAGTAGTGTTATTAAAAATGCATTAGTGTAAAAAAAGTAGTGTAGTAGAGTCTTAGCAAAAGTAAGTAACTTAGGTGTGTAAGCAACTTGCCTGTAAAGTATGTTACTAGTAATGACACTCTTAGTTACTCTTTTACACTTAGTAAAATTCTAGTATATAATATTACATAGTATTTTAAAGTAGTTGCTTTACTTTATATAGTTTTATTACTTAATATAGTTAAAAATTCTAGCTATAAGCTAAGGTTTTTATTATTAGTAAATAATTTATCTATAAAAATAAACAGCTTTACACTATTAAGCTATAATAGTAGAAAAGTAAGACTACACTTACTATTATCTATTTACTATTAGATTTATATGTTAAGTGTGTTAATATTATTATATAAAAAGTTTATAGTTTATGCAGTAATAGATAGGTTAAATACTACCTCTAGTTAACATATAGATGTAATATATGCCCCTTTTATATATTACTTAACATATTATTATATAGCATCCTTATTCTTTAGGTTAATTATATAAAAGTAGCTTACTTATTTTTTTTAAGTAAAGACTACTATGTTGTGTGTAAGTTTAATCCTTTTACTATTAAACTTAATAAGCTGCTTTTTTACTAAAATAGTTTTACTTTTTATATAAAACTTTACTTTTTATAGTTTTTTTTTATGTAAAAATTTTTATTATAATGCTTAAAGTGTTATCTATTTATAAGCTAGTAATACTAAAAGTGTGCTTTTCTTTATTAGTAATTAAAAAGTAAGGGTTATATAAAAAGATGTGCATACATAGCTTTTTTTTATAGTAATTATAGTATGTCTTAAACTAATATAGTCTTAATTTAGCAGCTCTATATAAGAGTTATACAACCTAGAGTATTATATTTAGTAGAAAGCTTTAGTGTATTTTCTTTAGTAGCTTTTTAAAAAAAAGCATATAAGCACTAAGCTAAAAACTTTATATATAACTAAATTACTTATATTATAAAAATAAAGTTTTTACTATACTTTAAAGTAGCTTATATTGCTATAATAACTTTTAGTAATATTTAAAAAAAGTTTTAAAGCGCTAAATTAGTTTCTTTTAACTTATAATAAGTTATAATAAGCTTTAATATAAAGTTACACACTTTATTACTACTACTACTTATATATAATAAGCCTTAGTAGTTATAAACTTTAAGTAATACTTTAAAACTTAAGTTATAATTAATGTTTATAAAAATAAAAATTTAAAAGTATATAAATAGTTTACTAACTTTTATAGTTAAAGTGTTTAAAAAAGTTTTAAAAAAAGTAGTAATAATTATATATAAGCTAGTATTAGTATAATAAAAAATTACTAAACTTTAAGTAGCTAATAAAGCTACTATATAATATAAATTATATAAAAAAAAGTAAATTAAAGTAAAAAAAACTTTAATAATTTAAAAAAGCTTACACTTAATAGCTTTAAAAAAGTTTAAAGTGCATAGTAATAAAAAAAAAAGTAAAGAAGTAAGTATAAGCTAAAGTAAGTAAGCTATTTTAAAGGCGCTATAAATAGTGTAATTAAACTAAGCATAACACATAAATATGTAAGTAAAAAGTAAAAGTAGTATCTAAATAATATTTTAGGCTATACTATACTATATAGTGCTAGAGCGGGTTATTATAGGCTATAATAGAGTTTGTTAGGGTGGGGTCTTAGCAAAAGTAAGCGACTTGGGTGTGTGAGCAACTCGCCCGTGAAGTACGTTACAGTAAGATGAGCATGTTGCCAGGTGCGATATCAGAGTGCATCAGCACCACCCGATCGCAATGTCTCTGGTCATATTCAAAGACAGACTCAGTAGAGCAGGCCATGTGATGGGAGCGAAAGTTGAAATTCTTTTCCAAACGAGCTTCAAGAGAGGATGTGACGGGAAGGTAACAGTTCCTATTCTAGCACCAACATATGATGAAGCTCACAAAGACCCTTCTGGACGCACATATGGAGGCCATGGAAAATCTGGATTATACCTCAACTGCAGGATGAGGCTACCTTTGGGGAATGCCCTCGTTGTGCCGTCGGGGAGTTGTGTGGATTCTGCATCGCACCCGGCCGTCCATCTTGTAAGAAGCCCATTCGCCTTCGCAATATCCTCTTTCAGTCGATACAATTTGTCCGTTTTAGGCAACGCGGTCTCCAAGATCTCTTCGTCTGTTATCTCTTCATACTCACCAGGTTCTGCGGTAATCCAGCAGTGTTGTTCGTACTTGAACTCCTCGAGGTCGATGCCTGAGGTGACAAGCTCCTCTTGCACGAAGTCTTCCTTGATAGGAAGATCAACGCCGACGTTGCTGAGATCCTCTCCAATGTCGGCGTTCCCAATATCCTAAGTACATGAGTATCACACTCTGCACTAGTGGGGTGAGACGTTACATAGTTTGCATGCAGAATTGGTACGTGTTCGATCTTGATGCGAATCTTCCACAAGACATCCGTACTCTCCGCCTGTTCGTCTTCAACCTGGTCTTCGCCTGCGAAGTCATCAATATACCAGATTCCGCCGTCATCCGGAGTCTCCTTATCAATAAGTAAGAAAGGCTCTTCGCGCTCCTCTGCTCTCCGTATTTCCGCATGGGTAAGTCCGTGATACTCGGGCTTGTCTTTGATATAGAGCTCTGCAAGTGGGGTAGGAAATTGTGAGAATGCTCCACTTTCAAAGGCTTTGTGGATGGCGTCGAGCTGTTGAGGAGATAGCTCGGCTGTTAGAAAAGCCGTCAGCCTATGGCCAGGTTGGCGAGGAAGGTAGACCATTGTGTTCGTCGAGGAAATGGAGATGATCCAGGAAGAAGTCGTACCACGGGTTGTACTCTTATATTAATCTGGACTGGATCCTTTCTGGTTGGAATGATGTCAAGAGGATCTAGCTTTCTTTGCTGCCTGAAATCCTCCCGCATTTTCAAACTCTTGGCGGACTCACTTCGCCACATTCCATCATAAGTTTGAAGCCTACATAGTATTTTTCACTCCACCTCTATAATTTGTGCATGAAATCCGCACCCTCGAATCCTCAGTGATCCCCGTGTCCCATTGTGAAGGTGCTATTCTTACGTAATACGATAACATACTTGAGAAGACGGGAACAGAGATTGCGACCACAGCCACAGCACCAATAATACTCATTGCCGGGTCAATTCCAAGGGTATGAAACGTAGACCTGGCAATAAGAGGGAGTCCCGCTGTCATTAAGCCCCTTAAAAAAGTATTCGCACTAGTTGCACTCGCAGCATAAAGTCCGTAGGAATCCACGAGGAAAGTAATACATTGCTGGAAGATCAAGTTGAAACCTCTGCCAATGAAGGCGGTGGCGACTGCTGAAACTGCCCAATGGTATTTTGGGTTTGCCGTCCAGCCAAACCAGAAGAGGCCGATAGGGAAAAGGACCATACCAACAATCATCAGTGGGAGTCGGCCTTCAGGTAGGGGTTTCCCCTTGGCTTTAGCTAACAGCCGTGCGTATCGGGGTTCATTGGCTAAGTTGATGAAGACAGCGAAGAGAATGCCAACGAAGAAGCCCAAGAATGGAAGAGAGGCAGGAACTGGGGTGTAGTGGCGAGTCTCTAAATACACGATCGGGAAGACCTCCAGAGTCAGGTAAAGAAGGCTATAAGCGGAGGTATACAATGCGATGCATGTAACAATTGGGTCTGTGAACAGTATCCTCAACGGCCTTACAAAGTGTTTGGTGGCAAGACTTTTGAAGTCCAATTTTAGGTTCTCATGAGTGTGGAACCGCGAGGGGCTGCCTGTTTCCTTGCGCATCTAGTGTGCCTTCCTCACGAGCAATACAGGGTGGTAAAGCTCCGGGAGGGTGGAGGCTGTGAGATTAAAGACAGCAAAGACGATGATGGCTTCGATGAATTCCGTCCAGCGCCACCTCAGCTCCGAGTTCACGGCTGCTGCAGCGCCTATCACTGGTCCCAACGTGAATCCGCCCACTACACATACAGGGCAAAAGCACATGGCCCGTCCCACGAACGTGCGGCTGCCATATGTCCTCTAATGCAACGGAGACGTTGCTGACTGGAGCCGAACCGAAAACGCCAGCAAAGAAGCGTGTGGCAAAGACGCCGGCGGCCGTTTTAGAAGTTGCAGTGCCTATGGAAAAGAGGCCGAGACAGAACATGGGCGGCAAAAGGCTCCATCGCCGGCCCCAGATATCCAAAACTGGGGCCCAAATAGAGGGACACAAGCAAACCCAATGCTAGCTAGTATGAGTGTACGTTGATGTGGAAGGGATGAAGGGGGTAAAGACTTACACGTATAACGAGACGGAAAGTACGGAAACCTTTCGACTAACCCTAAAGACGCGCGATATGTCATTCTCAGCAGAAACAGTGATACTTAATCCCAAGCTGGAAGCAAAGGCTAAGAGATTTAACTGCAAGGTTACCTGGATTTTGCACGGGGTACTCCAATTCCCGGGATTTGCGGGATCCCCACCCTCTTCCTGGACGAGATAAGGCTTCGGGTATACGGCAGGCATCTCGATGAGGGAGGATCTAAGTGATTCCATATCTTTACTAAGTGGGCTGAGTTGTGCCGCTGGTAATTGCTGAGATGCTTCCATCTTTGGAACTTGTTCCTGACGTCTGGGGACTCGGTTGGAACAATGGAGAAGAGACAATGACGACACGCCTGATCACCGTTGGAATCGAGATTCCGCTCATCAAGATGAATGCATTCAATATTTGTACTTGAATAGGGGATAGCTATACGGGTACGATACATCGGTTACCGAAGGGAGAAGTTCGCGAGAGAACCCCTACGATGGTCGGAGGAAGAGCGAACCTAACGCAATTGAGACCGCGTGAAAGCGAGCTGGGCATGATGGTGATGATGATGATGACGGTGATGGAGAGTTGTGGGATAGCGACCTGTGACCTTGTACTTTGAAAAGGGAGAAAGGGCACACAAGAAAATGAAGCTATACTCCACTTGCATCTTAGAAGGCCAGGCTGGTCAGTGATGGCCCATTGAATACGACGTCCGTTGCGCCGCCTACCAATCGTCGATGTGAATCAGTGAGGGGCGACGTGGTCCACACATGGCATGCTGCAGTCTGGACATGACACAGAGCAGTTGGGGTGGTTGCGGCGGCTGGGAGATGCGGGGGTGTCGGAGTCGCGTCGCGCGTCGAAAGTGAACAGACGTGTGCCGCAGGAGTTGCAGTCAAAACGCAGCCATAACGCACGTCTGGCGACACGGTGCGAGTTCTATGTCATGTGTGCCCTGAGCCCACAGGATGCGCCCAACGTGTGCACTCGTCAATGGAAGGGTTGCAAACTGCACGCACACTGAACTGTCGTCGCCTCCGAGGCCCCGGTCACGGCACGAATCATGTCCGGACCCCCACACTCTCGCTGCATGCGGCTTGCACCTGCTGTATGAGAGTTCGCTGGCACTTTGCTTCATCCTCACTCTCGCGACTCCATTCGAGCCCCGAGTCTGTGTCCTTTATTGTAATTCGTAATTGTACCCGCCCAGGTCCAGGCCCTAGAAATCAGCTGCGTCGCCAGCATGGCTGACTCTAAGCTGAGCGAGACAGCTTCATCAACCACAGAAGCTCCCTCTCCCGCCCACCCACAACCTCAGCTTCCGCCTCCTGCTCAACTACCCTCCACCACAGCGAGACGGAAGATGGCCTCCGCCGCACCCTCCAAGGACCATGTCCCTCCCCGACGGCCCACGATGAGCACTCAAATGGGCGCCGCTGCCAAACGCCCCGCCACAACGACACCCAACAGAGCTTCGACGATGGCGTCCAGGCCGCTCGCGAGCTCGACAAGCCGATCGAGTACTCTTGGATCAAGCTTGAACAAGCCGCCGACGCGTCCTGTCCCCGGCACAGCTGCCAGGCGCACGGGGCTGGCCGCTTCAAAGTCAACCACCTCCGATGCCGAGCCAGACCTTGCGTCCGTCACGTCGGGGGATGAGAACAAGAAGCCTGCGGCTTCTGCAGCTTCACGCAGGACGACCCTATCCACTGCAGCCACGCGGTCCTCACCTGGCAAGGCGGCCACGACGGAGCGGCGGTCGACCATTGCCCCCCCGAGCTCGACAACAACAAAGCGTCCCCCGAATACCTCCCGTTCTGCCGCTGAGACGTCGGTAGCCCGAGCTACCCCTCGTCCGTCGCTGGCTTCCTCAACGCGTGTGACGACGACTCGGCCAACAACCACCTCGAGGGCAGCTCCAAGCGCTGCGAGCAAGACGCCGGCCTCACATGCAAAGAAGCCGTCGGTGCCCCCGATTACTCCCATGGCGGCTGAGGCTAGCTTTTCGATCCCAGAGGAAGAGTATGTGTCTGAAGTGAACCCCTCTACAAGTCTACCTGTCCTAACTAAATCTCTATAGAACCAGCACCGTCTATGTCTCTCCCAAGAGCGCCGATCTAAGCAAGGAGAAGGTCGCCTCCGATACCGAAGCCGACCTGCGAAAGACGCCCTTCTCCCAGGCGAAAGCTAACCTAGCCAAGCTCAGCGAGGAGGCGCAGCGCTTAGATATTGCCCCCAGCGAACCTGTCGGCGACCTCGAGTCAGACACGAAGCACAGGAGCGCTCAGATTATGCAAGACTTCTTCAAGGAGACCAATCTCCGCGAGAAGCTGCAGGAGCAATGCGATGGCTTGAGCCGCGAAGTAGACAAGCTACAGGTGGAGAGGACAAAGCTGAAGGAGCAGCTGGCCGAAGCAGAGGCATCTATTTCCGATAAAGATATACTCCTTGCCGAAGCACAAATTTCCAACGACGCCTCTCAAGCAAAGCACTCATCACTGGTCGACGAGATGGAAAAGAAGTTTGCGTGGGAGACCAGAGAACTCCAGCGAGAGGCCGAGCAGCTCAAGGTGGAGAAGGCCGCCGCTCAAGCGAAAATAGTAGAGGAAGCACAACGTGCTGCTGAGCTCCAGGAACTTCTCGGCCAACTTAACAGGGATCTTGAACAGCAGGGCCAAGAGTGGGATGCCGAAAAGGAGAGAGTGCTCCAGCAACAAGCCCAAATTGCCACTCTGACAGATGAGGTCAGCTCCCTGACACAGGAGAAGGATGCTCTGGCACAGCAGGGTATGGAATCTCGCGAGACCATCGAAGGATTACAGGTAGAATTGGTTGAAGTTGAGCAAGCCCATACGGATGAGCTCAAATCGCGAGATGACAAGGTCGATGAACTGTCCAACGCTCTCGAAGATTTGCACGCCGAGATGGCTGCTTTAGAGCAGCGCCACTCTGACGTTTTGGGAGAGACTCAGAGGGTGCTGGAGGCAAAATACACACTATCCTCCACGTTGGCCGAAGAACTCCAAGCCAAGATTGAATCTCTCCACCAACAGCACACCGATGATCTGCGCGTCAAGGATGAGATAATTGAGAGTCACATCCAAGCCACGAACGAGTTGCGGGAACATGCGGACAAGGTCCAGGAGAGGGCCGACCAGACCGCCGCAGACTTGGAAAACGAAAGAAATGCACATACCGAGACGGTTCACAATACGATTGCCGAGCTGCAGCAGAACAAAGAGGAGGAGCTTCATGCTAAAGAAATCGAGGTTGCAGCCCATATCCAGGCCATCGAAGGGCTACAAGAGCAGATCAAGACCTTGCAACAAGGAGAGACCGATGGAGTTCAGGTCGCTCAGCAACTTAATATGCAAATTGAGGAGCTCAAACAATATCACGCAGACGCTCTTAGGGTTAAAACTGAGGAGAACGAGGAGCTCTTGAAACAGCTAGATGTTATCAACGAGCAGCTAGGATCGGATGCAACACAGATGAAAGACTTGAAAGAGGAGATCGAGGGTCTGAGAAGGACACTTCAGACGCTCGAGGACGTGTCACAGCAAGAAGAACGGCAGCACTCCTCTAGCCTCGCTAAGATTAAAGCAGAGCTTGAGGACGCGAAATCCAAAGCAGATTCGTTTAAAACTGAGCTTGACGCTGAGCAAGACAGACACCGACAATACTTGCGGTCTCTTGGCGAAGATCACGAAGCTAAAATAGAATCCCTTCGCGAGAATCTCGAAGGTGACGCGAAAACCCGCTTAAACCAGCTACAAGCCCAGTGTGATGCCCTCGTTGCGGAAAAAAACGCATCAGAGGAAGAACACCTCACGACCTTGGTCGGGAAAACGCAGGCATTGGAAGCTCTGACCCAAGAACTGAATTCCCTAAAGGAACATTCCGAATCCGCATCTCAAAGGCTCTTAGACGCGGTTACAAAACACGAGCAACTTGTCGGAGAAAAGGCGGCTGTTGAAGAAGCTCATGCTACCTCACAAAGTATCTTGCTCGAGCTCCAAGCCCGTCATCACAGTCTATTGCAGGAGAAGGCTGCCGCCGAGGAGGGCCATTCGACATCACAAAAGCTTATTGCCGACCTTCAGGCTCGCCATGACAGTTTGTTAGAAGAAAAGACTACCGCCGAAGATGCCCATAGGCGTGCGCTCGGCGCTATTAAGCAGGATTCCGACAGCGCCTCGAGGCAGCTTGTGGATGAACTGCAAGCCAGGTATGACACACTCTTGCAAGAGAAGATCAACGCCGAGTACGGCCACACCACTGAGATGGAAAGTATGGGCATCGAGCGAGATATTTTAACGCAACAGCTTTCGGAATTAGAGAAGACGCATGGTAATATGCTCGCGGAAAAGCTAGCTGCTGAGGAGATTCATGCTAGAGCGCTCGAGTCACAGCAAGTCGAGATCGAGAGCAAGTTCGCTAACCTTCTCGAAGAAATGCAGAGCGCTGCTGCAGCTTTAGAAGAGGAGAAGAAGACCTTACTTGAAGGAAAGCAGGCTGCACTTGACGATCATACACGCCAACTTGCAACTTTGAAGGAAGAACTACAATCCGCCGAACATTCTGGTCTAGACGAGTTGACCGCGAAGTACGAAGCCCTTTTGACCGAGAAGTCTACATCTGATCAAGAACATGAAGCTGCGGTCGCACTTCTCAAAGATTCTCTCAATGAAGAGCATGAACGCACTCTTGGAGGATTGCAATCCAAGTACGACACACTCAATGAAAAGTTCGCTAAGACGGATCAAGAGCAAGCCGACGCCATTGCTCTACTCCGAGAGGAGTTGAGCGAAGGGCACTCGAACGATCTACTCGCATTGCAGAAGAGCCTTGACGAGTTGCAAAAGGCATATACCGACCTAGCCGCACAAAAAGCGTCCACGGAGAAAGCCCTTGAAGACGCTATTTCGGAACTGATGCTCGGCATGGAATCTAGTCAATCTGAAGCGGTTCAGCAATTGGAAAGGAAATATGATGCATTAGCGGTACAATTCGAAGCTCTAGAGGCCAGCCACACCCAAGCGCTTGAGGCAGCAAAGAAACAGGCGCAGGATGAGCACGAGGTTACACTTCAAGAGCTACAGTCGCGGCACGAAACCCTTTCTATGCATGTTTCCACGAACGCCGAAGTTTATGCGCAGCAGATCGACCGTCTGAACGAAAGCATCCGCAGTCTCGAGGCTGAGCGAACCCAGGCCGTGCGCGCTCTGGAAGACGCTGAGGACCGGATAGAGACTATGAAAGGTGATGTAGTAAGGAAGCATTTAGCACTCGTCGAACCACTGGAGAAAGAAAATATGCAATTAAAGGAAAAAGTTGAACGCTTGGAGGCGATTCTTGCTGCAGGTGACCGAGTAGCACGCGCTGCCGCTACAGTTGGCGAACGGCGGGAAATTGATACAGTTATGGAGGACGAGGAAGAGGAGGAAGATGACGAGCAGGTTACTTCAGGCGCGGAGTCGACCTCTGCTCCTCGCGAGGTATTGGGAACTGTAAGCCAACCAACCTTTAACCAAAGTTAATTTGACAACCAGCTGACGTACCGCTAGCAGTTAGCGGCCATGCAAGAAACTCTCTCCCAGCTTTCTGAGCTCAACAACGACGCCATCGCCGAGAGCTCACGAACTGCCCAGAAGCTTGCAGACGAAGACTGGGTAGCAGTTGAAAAGAGGTAGTTTGGCGTTTGGCTCCTCTTGTACCCACCTTCTCACGTCTCCCATTCCCTTCGGCAGCACCTTTACCTATACATTTTGTAATTCATGTCGCCCTGTTTGATACTGCCTTTGGTATTATACCCCCTGCACTGTCATTATATCCCTTGTAAACAATTTTAGCTTATTGCTATCTGAATGTTCTACTCTCACACTAGGACGCCCTCTATACATTTTTGAGACAATACTATGGCTTCTGATTGTGCTTTACACCGTCACTTTCTCCTGGCCCTCTCCTTCACCCCACCTCCTCAACCCTTCTTTGAGCGCTTCAACTGCACCTTTCCACACCGCATCCTCTTCGAAGCTGACCTTATGGGTCCTCCACTCCAGCCAATCCTCCGCTCTTGCCCCGCTCTCTGTATCCAATAACCCAACCCCGATGTCGACCATCTGCGATCTCTCAACGCAAGCGTACACGACCAGCGCCCCGCACTTTCCGCAAAACGTCCTCATAACACCGGGAGAGCTTTCATAGACTTTGGTGGTGCCGAAGACATGTTTATATGGCGAGCCGTCCGGGAGGCGGAGGGAAGCGGTAGATGTAAACATCCAGGAAGTTAAAAAGGAGGAGGAGCACAGGCGGCAAGATGTGCATACATCAGAAGAGGCATACCATTTGGTTTTATCCTTTGGGGTTAGACTTTGCGGCAGGTGGTCGAAAGAGTTAGGGCCGGGGCGAGATATGTAGAATTCGACGCCTCGGCAGTGACAGTGCGCGTAAAGCCTGTCGTCATCTTTAGGTCCTTTCATGGATGCAATTGTAGTAGACGCTGCCGGTACCCAATCACCGGTTTCAATCCACTGCGCTTGGATGGAGCCCTTCCATTTTCCGAGTTTCTTTCCGTTGATCTCTTCAAGCCAAATGCTCATGCCTCCATCCAGGGTGCTTGCTAAGTTCATATGAGAATGAAGATTCCAAGTAACCTCCTCGGCATCGACTAGACTAGCGGCAACGTACCACTGCCCCTCTCCCCCATCCCCATCTTCTTGTTCCATTTCTGTAGCCCTGTCTAACATATGCGCCCCACACGTGCTGCAGAAATAGCGAACCACGCGAGAAGACGATGCGTACGCGGTGAGTGTAGTGAAATTAACGACTGGAGTGGGAATGGGAGCGTGAATAGTGGAGAGTGTGCCATGGGTATGACGGCAGATGCTGCAGTGACAGAAGTGCGTTGGGAGGGGAAGGGAGGTGGCCGATACGGTGAACGTGAGAGTAGAGTTTTGGCACAGACATGTTGCTGAGAGTGTCCGCTTTGAAGATGACGGAGACATATTTGAGCAGTTAGATTCAGGAATGGGGGTTGGTTGAAATAATAAGAGAGGGATCAAATGATATGTGAATATCTAGAAAGACAGAGAGCGCAGGAGAAAAGAGAGAATTGATATTGCGTGAATGTGCGTTTGGTAAACGACGCGTGGTGTGACTCCTCTGCAACATGAGGGCATGTGATGCGTTCCACCGCATTAAAATGTCTTAGTATTCTCGCTTCGTTAGAATCCTCACCTAAATTACTAGCTAAGTTAGACTAGCACGCAATTAGTTAGATGTAAAGATGGGATGGTAGGTAGCACAGATAGCACTGAGAGCAAGCTTTTAGAGAAAGATAGGAGTGTATTGTAAGAGAGACAAATCGCTGCTAAGCTTTGCTTGTTAGGATATACAAAGCACAGGTTATATGACCTCTAAACAGGTTAGGTGAGGCCATACTAGCCTGTTCTAGGACATCTGGCCTTACATTATCCCCCCTTATAGTAGTCCTATAACTTAGAGGATAGAACAGATAACAATAGGCCTAAGTAGTATAATATAGTGTTATATAATACTTTAAAGGCTTACTTCTGCTTATTTTAGTTAATTTTATGTAAGTTTATTTAAAAATAACCTAAAGTTATTAAGTAAAAGTAAAGTAAAAGTATAAAGTAAAAGTAAAAGTAAAATAACGTACCTAACAGGTTAGCTAGCTACACAGGTTGGCTGGCCACTTTTGCTAAGCCCCTACTAAAACCACCCTATTCTAGCGCAAAACAGCCTACTTTAGCCCTATATAAAGTAATATAACATAAGATATTATTTAAAGTCTACTTCTACTACTTTTTTACACATACATAAGTTATGCCTAGTTTAATTACACTACTTATATTACCTTTAACTTAGCTTACCTTTTTTAGTGTGTACTTATGTCTTTAGCTTTTTCTTATTACTACACGCTCTAAACTTTTTTAAAGTAGTTAAATAAGCTTTATTTTTAACTATTAAAGTTTTTTTTACTTAAATTTACTTTTTTATGTAATTTATGTTATGTAGTAGCTTTATTTACTACTTAAAGCTTTATAATCTTCTTTTATACTAATACTAGCTTATGTGTAATAATTACTACCCTTTTTAAACCTTTTTTAAAGGCCTTTACTATAAATATTAGTAAGCTATTTATATGCCTTTAAATTTTTACTTTTATAAGCATTAATTATAACTTAAATTTAAAAGTATTACTTAAAGTTTATAACTACTAAGGCTTATTATTAATAAATAGTAGTAGTAATAGAGTATATAACTAGATATTAAGAACTATTTTAACTTATTCTAAGTTAAATAAAACTAAACTAGCGCTTTAAAACTCTTTTTAAATATTACTAAAAGTAATTACTATATTATAAGTATGTATAAAGCATATTAAAAACTTAAGTTTTATAATATAAGTAATTTAGTTATATATAAGATTTTTAGCTTAGCACTTATATACTTTTTTTAAAAAAGTAAAACAACTTATATTAAAAAGCTATAAAAAGTGTAATAAGTGTAAAAGTATATAAATAGTAATAAATTTTTTTTTATAGTACTACTAAAAATTAAGTAAGTTATAGCTTTTATAGCTAACGTACCTAACGGGTTGGCTGGCTACACAGGTTAGCCGGCCACTTTTGCTAAGCCCCTACTAAAACTACCCTATTCTCTCGCAAAACAGCCCACTTTAGCCCTGTATAAAGTAATATAACATAAGATATTATTTAAAGTCTACTTTTACTACTTACTTACACGTACACAAGTTATGCCTAGTTTAATTACACTGCCTATATTACCTTTAACTTAGCTTACCTTCTTTAGCGCGCACTTATGTTTTTAGCTTCTTCCTATTACTACGCGCTCTAAACTCCTTTAGAGTAGTTATATAAGCTTTATCCTTAACTATTAAGGTTTTTTCTACCTAAATTTGCTTTTTTTTATGTAATTTATGTTATATAGCAGCCTTATTTGCTGCTTAAAGCTTTATAATCTTATAGCCTACTTTATTATATTAATGCTTTAGATAACTATTATCTACTTTTTATTACTTTACTATATTGCCTTTAGCTGTCTTTATCTTTTTAAAGCTATAACAACTGCTCTAGTTAATATTTAGCCTATTATAAAGCCTAACTTATTAAAGTTATACCTGTTTTTATTCTAGATACTATACTTAGCTTTTATATTAGCTACTAGGTAAAACTAGCCTTAGATAACTTCTAAATCTTTATAAAGTGCTTTCTTATAATTATACTTATAATTAAATGTTATTATAAACTTAGGGTAGTGCTTAACCTACATACTAGTCTAGTTTAAGCTAACCTAGCCTAGATTGCGCTCTGCAGGTAAGGAATTAGCTATATTAGCTATAGCTGCAAGCTTAAAAGGAAATCTGCACATAATAAGCTTAAGTATGTACTTAATAACTACTTTTTTTTAAGCTTAGTTAGATTTCTTAATTTAGGCTAGCATTCTGCTTATAAAGGCTGTCTAGCGCGTTAATTGCTTAGTGTTGTGTAAAAGACATTATAGATAGCTATAGGGCGTTATAAAAAAAGTGTTAAGTTTTATTTAAAAGCCTAAAAAGTAAGCTGTATCTAACATTCTTTAGAAGATTTAATCTAGAGTTATTGTTAAGGCATTATGTAGATAGGTAGAGTTTAGTGGGGGCTTAGCAAAAGTGGCCAGCCGACCTGTGTGGCCGGCTAACCCGTTAGGTACGTTATTAATAATAAAAAGCTAATAAGCGCTTATAACTTTTTTTATATGCTTATTAAAGTGCTTTAACTACTATAGCTTAAGCTTATTTATTATTTAGCTATTTTTAAAAACTATAATAACTTAGTTTTAAAGTAGATTTTTCTTTTTATACTAGGCAAAAAAGTAATAGCAGCTTTTAAAAATAATAAAAAGTAAAATAGCTTACTTTATTATATTAATACTTTAAATAACTATTATCTACTTTTTATTACTTTACTATATTGCCTTTAGCTGTTTTTATTTTTCTAAAGCTATAATAACTACTTTAGTTAATATTTAGCCTATTATAAAGCTTAACTTATTAAAGTTATACATGTTTTTATTTTAAATACTATACTTAGCTTTTCTATTAGCTACTAGGTAAAACTAGCCTTAGATAACTTTTAAATTCTTATAAAGTACTTTTTTATAATTATACTTATAATTAAACTTTATTATAAACTTAAAGTAGTACTTAACTTACATACTAGGCTAGTTTAAGCTAACCTAGCCTAAATTACACTCTATGTGTAAGAAATTAGCTATATTAGCTATAGCTATAAGCTTAGAAAAAAATTTATGTGTAATAAGCTTAAGTATATACTTAATAACTACTTTTTTTTAAGCTTAGTTAGATTTTTTAATTTAGGCTAGTATTCTGCTTCTAAAGGCTATCTAGCGTGTTAATTACTTAGTGTTATGTAAAAGACATTATAAATAGCTATAGCATGTTATAAAAAGAGTTTTAAGTCTTATTTAAAAGCCTAAAAATTAAGCTGTATTTAATGTTTTTTAGAAAATTTAATTTAGTGTTGTTGTTAAAGCATTATATAGATAAGTAGAGTGTAGTAGAGGCTTAGCAAAAGTAGCTAGCTAACTTGTGTAGCCAGCCAACCTGTTAGATACGTTAGCAGTATATCTTACACTAATAAAGTAGCAGTTAGGACAGTATATATCAGGTCTAACTATTCTAGAAGTCTATCTTCTTTACACTTCTGCTCTTTTTACAGCTTAAAATTTAAAAAATTTTAAACTTTTTAAAATAAGTAATGTACTTTATAGGCAAGTTACGTACACACCTAAGTTGCTTACTTTTACTAAGACTTTACTATACTACTTTTTTTACACTAATGCATTTCTAATAACACTACTTAAACATGTTAAAAAAATGTTAGATATAGCTTATACTTTAAGCTTTTAAATAAAACATAACACTTTTTAAGTAATATACTATAGCTATTTATAAGGTTTTTTAAAAAATAATAAGTAACTAACACACTAAATAACTTTTTTAAGCTAATTATATAGCTAACTTATAAAAGCTAAATAATAATAAAAAGTAAGTAATTATTTAGCACATACTTAAGCTAAATACATAAGGATTTCCCTTTTAGCTAGTAGCTATAGCTAATATAGCTAATTTTTTACATGCTAAGTATAATATAAGCTATATTAGTATAAACTAGCTTAATATATTTATTAAATATTACTTAAAGCTTAAAGTAAAGTTTAAGTGTAAGTATAACTATAAAAAAGCTTTTAATAAAATTTTTATAGTAATTTAAAGCTAGTTTAACTTTATAAAAAATATTAAAGCTAAGTATAGCATTTAAAATAATAATATATATAACTTTAATAAAATAAAGTTTATAATAAGCTAAATATTTACTAAAGTAGTTATTATAAGTTTAAAAAAATAAGAACAGCTAAAAGTAGTCTAGCTAGGTAACTAAAAGTAAATAATAGCTATTTAAGGCATTAATGCTAAAAAGTAGGCTATTTTACTTTTTATTATTTTTTAAAGTAGTAACTACTTTTTAAACTAGTATAAAAAAATCTACTTTAAAATTAAGTTATTATAATTTTTAAGCATAGCTAGACTACTAATTAGCTTAGTCTACACTAGTTAAAGCACTTTAACGCGCATATAAAAAAGTGTACTATTAGTAGCTACTATTTACTAGTTATTAATAGCTATAAAAGCTATAACTTACTTTATTTTTAGTAATACTATAAAAATAATAAGATTATTACTATTTATATACTTTTTTACTTATTACACTTTTTATAGCTACTTAATATAGGTTGTTTTACTTCTTTAAAAAAAGTATATAAGCGCTAAGCTAAAAACTTTATACATAACTAAATTACTTATATTATAAAAATAAAGTTTTTACTATGCTTTAAAATAGCTTATAATACTATAATTACTTTTAGTAATATTTAAAAAAAGTTTTAAAGCGCTAGATTAGTTCTTTTTAACCTATAATAAGTTATAATAAGCCTTAATATAAAGTTGCACACTTTATTATTACTACTACTTATATATAATAAGCCTTAGTAGTTATAAACTTTAAGTAATACTTTAAAACTTAAGTTATAATTAATGCTTATAAAAATAAAATTTTAAAAGTATATAAATAGT